CAGATGGGGAACATAAGTCTCGTCCTTGACTTTGCCCCAAAAATGAAAATCAAGAAGTGTGAGGTCAGGTGACCGTGGCAAACCAGAATCCGTGATGCTGTATTAAGGGTCGACGACGATGTGATTTGTTAGAGCACGTAAGAAGTCTGCATTCAGACGGAACGTGTGGCGCAGTGCCCGCGGACGCCACGCCGAGCACCTATGTTGGGCCTCTGCTCTGGAGCAAATCTTTTTCCATTACGAAGTACAAACAACACGGTATAAGACTTTTAAATTTTACTTTAATTCATTGTCACGCTGTATACAAACCTACAATTTTACACGTTATTTTATAAGGGTGTGAACGTCACTCACCCTGAGGGAAGAATGTAGAATGAGGATCTTTGGAAATCAGTGCACGACGTAATAAGAGAAAGCAGAAAATTAGGTAACGAAGATTTTCACAATTTGTACTCTTCACCCAATAACGAGATGGTTATTAAATCAAGAAGAATTAGATAGGCCGGACACAATCGGAGAAACAAGACACGAATTCAAAAATTTGGTTAGGAAACCTCACGCAAACAGTCCATGTGGGAGTTCAAAGCGTTGACAGAACAATACTAACACATACGATAAGGGAAATTAATTGTGAAACTACGAATATCATTAAACCACATGAGGGTAAAAACCTTACGGTTCCACAACAGGAAATTCCTCGAAGCTGAATAATCACCTGTAACCTATTCGAGAAATATCCTGTGCCGTGTATTTATTTATCATTATCGTAGATACTCTGTATGCATTCGTTATTAAAAACATTCGGGAACATTTGCTTCTAACTCGTATCACTTGGAAAAAAAAGTTTAATCTGAAATGTTCTCGGGCGATCAGTCGAAGCAGAGACAGTGTCCGAACCATGTGACTTAATTCCACACTCTCACAGTTGATCATCCGAGAACACTGCGTGCATTCAGTCGCCGTGAAACTTCCAATTTTTCAAGTTTCACAGCCTCCGTCTAATCACAAATCTGGCCTCATCATTCTTTCGCAGTCGTATAGCAAAAAGATGTCATTGGAATAACAAAACAAACCTTGAAGGAAAAACAGACCACGTGGGCGACATTGGTGTAGACGGGAGGATAACTATAAAAATTAATCTCAAAGAAACAATGTATGAGGATGTGCGTTGGATATATCTGGTTCAGGATAGGGTCCATTGGAGGGCTCACGTAAACACGATAACAAATCTTCAAGTTCCATAAAAGGCGAGAATTTCGTCAAGGTCTTTGCTCCATGGAATTAGCTTCAACTGTTTGGCCACTATCAGAAATGCAAGTGTTATGGCAAGCAGGCTATTATGAAACAAAGTTACTGGAGGGAAAGGTTTTTTTCCATTCGCGTGTTGCTGATACTTTACCGAAATAATTAAATACCACGCCACTCTTTCTCACTCCCCCTACAAATAAAGCAGACTGTAACAAAGCAACTTTTCAAGAAGTTTCTACACAATGTTATCATCCTCAAGGTGGTCTTGTCCGGGCCTTGGAAATGCCTTCCAAATAGCTTACAGGTATTCAGTAACATAACAAGTACATATTTCTTAAATTATGCGCTGCTTTATTTTTTCCAGGGCTACAGTAATTACACTTAGGCTTTCCTTAAGCAAACTTAACAGCTGTCTGTCATCAGGCTGGGGCGGATTCAAGATGTTAGTATAATTACCGTGAAGAGCTGCAAAATAGAAAGAAGTGGTCGTTGTCCAATTTATTATTCTATTTTGTGTATTCTAACTGTATTCTATTTCATATCCACTTCATGGCACATTAGACCAACCCTTATCGAGATACAGATGTACGTACATGCTCATACAAACCAACAATATCTTTCATGTATATGGGATTATTGTCGTTGTTAACATTAAAATAGAAAATTATCTAATTTAAAATTCTTCTAAAGCCAACTAATCATTCCATCTCATGTTACTTTATACATTACAGACGCAAACGGTAATGCAGATTCTTGTACATAACAACCACCGGGAATCCACGATACTACTCAAATTTAGAATTCACGAACAACGGCCTGGCAACATTTGCGTCGATATTCGTTATCTGTAGATAGAAATTTCAAGGATTGGAGATGTCACACGGTTTCGGCCGTGCAGGATACGACCACGAGGTAGAGGCGTCAACAGAAACAAACCTGGCCTAGGCAAGAGGGCCGGTCATCTGTCACAACGTGGTAAATACAAAAACACAATACACTCGCCATGGAATCAACACCGTGTTCAGACACTATTTTTGGAATCTTTTAACACACAAATTACCAAGAACAAATGTGTATGTGGTGAGACCAGAAATTCTCACGACGACGGGAATGGATATGGCTGTCTTCTGGGATGTTGCACCGTGTATTTTAAAAGATATTGACCGACGTTTCAGAGTATTTTACTGCCTCCATTATCATGAGTAAGCTGCACATGGAAATGTGGTAGAAAAATGAGTACGTAGGACAAAATGTTTGTATTCATAATCCCAATCCAGAACCATAAATCTCTGTTATAGGGTGCTCAACAAAAATATGTGTAGGAGAATGTTATGTTATAGACCGTGAGTAAAAACAAAGAAGAATCCGGATGTATCTATTTAACAAATGATTCGTATTAGAACATGAAGAATGCAACTGTTCGCTTATTACATTAGGGCCAGAATGTTTAAAATGTGTTAACAGAAATATCTTCTAAAGCGTAAAACCTTATATATGCCTTTTTTACATGCCTATAAGCAAAAGACAAATATTAAAATTATAAATGACAATTAAAATCATCTTG